TTGTCCCCAGCGCCATGGCGTGTCTTTACGTGTAAGGTTGTGAAGCGGTCGTGCCAGTGAGGAGAATCCTCGGATAAATCGGCGGTAGAAGTTGCAAAACCCAAGGAACGCGCGTACTTCTCGAAGGGTCTTCGGGGCTTGCCATTCCTGGATGCCCCGTACTTTAACGGGGTCCATACGCAGGTTCCCGTGGCCTATGATCAGCCCTAAGTACTCTACTTCAAGGACCTCGAATTCGCACTTCTCCGGTTTGATATACAGGTTGTGCTCTTCGCACAAACGGAGAACCTCGTGAAGCACGGCGCGGTGGTGCGGATAATCGATGGCGGTTGCTATCAAGATGTCGTCCATATAGACGATCACCTCATTGGTGAGGACAAGGGGTCGAAAGATGGTGTCCATCATTTCTTGAAACGTCGAGGGTGAATTCGTGAGGCCAAAATACATAACTAGGGGTTCGTAGAGCCCTTGGTTAGTTTTAAACGCGGCCTTCCATTCGTCTCCCTCGTTGATCCGTATGTTGTTGTAACCCCACTTGATGTCAAGCTTCAAGTACAGGCGCGCCCCGTGTATTCGATCCACTAGTTCAGGGATGAGGGGGAGGGGGTAATGGTTTTGAACGGTGATCTCATTCAACCGTCGATAGTCTTGCACAGGGCGTAGTCTGCTGTCCTTTTTTTTAATGAAGAAGAACGGCGATGCATAGGGCGATTTCGATGGACGTATATACCCCTTTTCTAGTTGTTCCGTGAGGAACGTGGTGAGCACCTCCTGTTCGTTCTGTGCGAGGGGGTAGACTTTACAATCGAGTGCGGCGGGAGCGTTAGGTAGTAGGTCGATAGCGTGATCCCAGATGCGCGACGGAGGAAAGCGATGGGATGCTTCTTCATCGAATATTTTGCGATGGCAATGATACTCCGCTGGGACCATTTCTTCAAATGTTCGCTGTTCCTTCTTTGCCGCTTCTCGTTGTGCTAGTTCCGACACAGTCGTCGTCTTTCGTAAGAAGGCGATTTGGGGTTCGCGCTCATCATCCATGAGCTGCTCCCACGCTTCCTCGTCAAGTTCATACGTCTCCAACGCCCGAATGGATGCTTCCATAGGCGTGGCTTCGTCTGACAAGTGAAGGCTCGAGACCACAACCGGTTGAAACTCCTCGTTCAACGTTGCGTCTCCCCACTTGATCTGCGGCTCAAAGGCCGTGAACCAAGGGTATCCTAGGATGACTTCGTCCCTTCCCAGGTTCATGACTAGGAAGCGAAGCGTTCTTTCCTCCTTTCCTGTTTTCACGGTGTAAGGCCAGCATTCCGGCTGAGCCCGAAACCATTCGTTTTCGGACACTCGATCACCTCGGCCACGCGGCCCTTTGTCTACGCTTTACCCTTTTTCCTTTCCCTTTTACCTTAGCTCAGTAGCTACAGGTTCTTCTGTATAAAAACTTCTACTTTTGTGCTGAATATACGCAGCGCTCGGTCGCCTCTTGTCCCCCCTTTTATTCTAAGTGTGAATATCCCGGAAGTCAGGCCCAAACGCGGGCACTCGAAGGACATTTCTCGCTTTCACTTTCCTCTCTTCTGGCTGCTTTTCCTCTTACCCCCTTTCCTCTTTAACCACCCTCTGCCCACGTTTACTCACGCACGCGCTTTCGAGCACGTTCAACGGTGAGGTCCGTATACTGAGTGATGGCGCCGTCCTGATTATGGGTGCCGTCTACATTCCAGATGCGGATAGGGTGGGTGACGTCCCTCGTTCCAATCTGGAGTCGTTTAAGAAGCGTGGAGCATATGAAGTTATCCGTTGCCCCTGAGTCGATAAGGACTTGTCGTTCGGCCGTTGCGTGTGCAGATTTAAACAAAACTGGGATTCGCATGGATCGGTATCTGCTAGTATACACGTTTAGGTTCAAAGCTCTAGCCCAGGCCGCCGGGTTCAAGCGTCGAGAAAATCCTCTCTTCCAAATAACTTTTCGACCATGAGGTCGCGCACTTCCTGAGATTGTGCCTTCATTGCTGCGATCTGTACGTCTGCCTGCTCCTCATTCGAAAGGACACAATTAGCTGATATGGCGACAGTACTGAGGGTGGGAGCTGATACGTTTGCAGGCGAGGAAGGGGAGAGCGCAGTTCTTGAGGAAGCGGCGGGTAGCGCCATGGCAGCGCTGGCTGCAGCCACGCGCACGCCTTTTTGTGGGCAGTTACGCGAGATGTGCCCTTGAGCACGACATCTAAAACATCGTCCCTCCTTTTGAAGTTGGACTTTGTCGGTGTCGGTAAGGGCCACGGAGGCTCTGGCACGTCCAACATCCATGGCGTTCGGGTCGCGCGTTCTGTTGAGGGCCTGGACCCACTGTTCTTGGCTGTGTCCCCCCTTTCGACTGCGCGATGGTTTGTTTTTGCCCAGGTGATCCTTTAAAACAAGGTATTCAGCCTGCTGAAGTCGTGCGGCCGCCTTCCACTGCTCCCAGTTGATGGGGTGCTGGAAGTGGATAGCGTTAATGACTAACTGATTAGGTAGTCCGTCTTGGAAAATGTCGAGGGTCGTGGCTTCATCGGGGTTATACCCGACCTTGATAACAAGGTTTTCGAACGTGGTGATATACGTGTTGATGTCTTCTCCTTTCATGGTGAGGGTTTGGAGTGATTTACGGGCATTGGTACGTTCCGCCGTATCGAAGTAGGCGGCTACAAATCTGTCCCGGACGGTGTTCCACAGGACCATGTTTCCTTGATCCACCCCATTGGCTACTTGTTCGTTGAGCCATCGCACCTGTTCTGCCACCCAGTCATCGACAAGGGGTCCTCTAATGTAGGAGAGGAGGGTCATGGCACGTGAAGAGGGGATCCTGAGTTGGTCGACTTCCGGGTTCATTCCGATATAGAGGTCGAATGCGAGCAGAAAAGCTTTGCTCTTGTCTCTCACCCCTGTGAACTCCGGGGGTGGGTTCCCTCCCAATCTTCCGTGACCTCCAGGTGCTACTATTGGCGCGGCTCCTCCTGGCGCAGCGCCACCACCGCCACCGCCACCGCCACCGCCACCTCCACCAGCACCGCCACCAGCTCCTCCGGCCGGGGCTCCACTGGGTGGTACTGGGGCTCCTCCTCCTGAGCTCGAGGCTCCCGAGGGTCCTCCTCCTGTACCCCCGCTGGTAAGTGTTGTACTAGCCGAGGCTTGTGGGTTCTGAGCCATTGTGTGTGATGGAAATGCGGTTGCTGGTAAGTTTGTCGTGGGGACGGGTACGCTTGGGGAGTCGGGGTCTGGGGTGTCAATGTCGATGCCTGTAGCCGTATGGGGTCTGATGGGTCCCACTCCTAGTGCGGGAGGTACAATGCTGAGGGTGTACCAGCTTCCTTGTTTTAACGAGTAGTCGATGTATGCCCACTGATGGAGATCATCAAGATAGTGGACCTGTCGGTATTTCTGTGTGTTAGGATGAAAAAGGAAGTATCCTTCCACCCCGTCGTGTTCTGCCCAGACTATGGCTCCCTTGATTCTGTCAGAGAGTTCGTCGGTACTGTATCAATCGATATATTCGGCCTGAAACCGAGACTGGCTGCGACTAGATGTCGCCACTGTGAGAGACTTGACTTAATGTAATGCCACCACAGGGGCGTTAAGTACGACGTGTACTTCGTAAGTCAGCAGGATCGGAAAGGCGTGAGTCGGTTAAGACTCAGTTCGGTGGTGAACAAGTACCACTAGGCCTCCCAGGGACACTAGGGTAATAGCGGGATATGAGGCTCAAGCGTAAAGGCGAGCGAAGAGCGGGGACTCAAGCGCAAGGGCGAGTCAAACAGGGATCGTGAGGCAAAGACGATGTGGTATTACACAAGAAGTCAAGTCTACCATACAAGCTAGGTAGGGCGTGACTTATATACTAGTACAGGGTGTTTGTATGCTACAAACACATGGCGCGATCCTAGGGTACGGGCCCTAGCGAGCTAATCGAGTAATGTGAAAGGGAAGTCTGTAAGTAGAACAAGCGAATCCCGCGGGGGCACGCGGAAGTCAGATGGCGTCTGTGGACTCTAAAAGTCGTAAAATCGGCCATTGTAATGGTCAGGCGGTGGGTGCGAGATAGAAGCCGAAGAAGGAGAAGAAGCGGGTCATGGGTAAAAGTACACGCGAACATGAGACAACACATCAGAAGAAAGATAAGAAATAGTCCAAGTTCGTAACACCGGGAGTGTCACGGTACGCGAAGTGGACGCTTACTTACGGTGATGACCTTGTTAGTAAGTCGTAATGTGTCATGGACTAGTTGTATCAGTCAGCAGACTTGTAGTATCACATGCCGATGTGGCATGACTCATACCTAGGATAGTGATAGTAGGGTTCGAGCTACTTACGCTACTAGTCGTACGGATTCGAGAGGAGCTTTAAAGCTACCTCATACATGTATAAATAGTGGACCGATAAGACCAAGATACGCCATCTTGGTCTTCTTCAATCACCACTTCCTTGCTCCTCTCCTCCGCGTGCTTTCACTTGTCTCGCCTGAGCAAGTCGTCTACAGCGATCGCCTAGTGACTCCGACGTCCTAGTGCTTAGTTATACGCGTCACGTGCCTCCCGCAAGTGCCGTGTACACGTACCCCAAGTCACGTGACTTGTATCCGAATATTTGCTAAGTCATGAATGCTCTTTTGCAGTCCAAGTCGGACTAACGCCAGTGGTGGCGTTACAGGGAGGTGCCGCAACGTGGACACGAGTCGAGAAGCCCATAAGGCCCAGTGTACACGATGCAAGAGTTAGGACACATGTCATGTTCAATGGGTACAACACCTGAAAGCCATCAAAGTCGCCGCTTCACCTGATCGTACAACAGAAAGGCGCCATCAGGGTTATTCAGGAGCTCAATGCGCCGCGTAGTGTCGTAGTGATCCCGAGAGGCGGACGAGTTATTGATGAAGTGCCTTAGTTGATGAAGTCCCAGGGGGTCTGAATCTGCTAAGCAGCACCCCGGACAACAATCGAAAGGGACCCTGGATAGGGAAAAGTACATGGCCAGGTTGGGGATCGAACCCAAGACCCCGGATTAGATCTCCGTGCTCTTCCAACTGAGCTACATGGCCCTGGGTATTACGAGTCGGGTTATTGTAGACATCACGCCGATATGACATCATAAACCCTAACCATGTCGAAGGGATTAACGGTGTATCCCCACTTCAACATTAGTGAGCGCAGGAGAGGGGACGGATCCTCTAGAACGTGCTCTGGTTCTGGACTTCGCAGTTGCTCAATGTCATCAAGTTCCATCCCAGTATCCTCAAGAACAGCTGTCCTCAGAGTGTCGATGAAATGCTGTGTCGTCTGCAGGTCTGGGAGTCTAATCGGGTGGTCGGAGCCTATGTCAAACTCGCTGGGCTCAATAGGATCTGGCTGGATGGCTTCCTGGTCGAGGCCATCCGTCCCTGTAACGCCACCAGCGGGGCGACGTCCACGGTTCGAAGTACCTGCGGCAGGCTTAGCAGAAGACGACGTGGTCATTGTCAACGACGGTGACAAAGGAGACTGAGATTGGTCAAAGGCACACGCTCGAAGAGGCAAGGCGAGAATGGTGATGCACACGTAAAGCAGAAGGAGCTTAAGACAGAGGCAGAGCAGGGTTCCCAAGATACAAAGCTGGTATTGCTAAGTAACTCAAGTCTGGGGACTTGAGGATGAAACAAGCCTGGTATATATACATGCAGGTACATAAGGTTCGTACTCAGCTAAGTCCGCTCTCTCGGGTTCTGTGGTCTGTGCGCAGACATGGAACCTTCTAGAAAGGTCACATGGTCGATTGCGCCATCTATCATCATTGGTCTAGGTTGGCCTGGCCCTCGGTCACGTGATCCATGACGTCATGGCTCCAAGGCTTTCCGGAACCAGTCCCTAGCTGCACTGAGTCCACTACCGCTGGCCTTTGGGCTCTGGGGAGTCACGCCTTCTGACGGCGGTGCTTCCGGGCCGTACTCTGGGCGCTTGGCAGCTTCGGTGGTCGGGGATCGTAACAGTCCCCGAGTGCTCGTGGGTCTCAAGGTTTGCTGGTCTATCAGAGTTCTCCAAGCCTTCTTCGACAGCGGGGTGGGGTTCCTGAGAATCGCCATCAGTCCCAGGAGCGCCAGCGTAGGGATCTTCTTCCATTGGCATGACAGGCTCATGCTCGTGCGTCTCAGGACTTGCAGAATTCTCTTCGATGGTGACACGTGGTTCCTGTGTATCACCACCAGAACCACCGGAAGCACCAGCATGAGGATCTTCTTCCATTGACATGTTGGGTTCCTGAGGAGGAGAGACCGGCGTGGGAGGCTATGAATATAGAGTCATTTTGAGTCCAAATGGGTCATCGTTATGTACAATACCTGTTCGTGTGTCCAAGATCGTAGTCCCTCCAAGAGTCCCTCAGTTGGGGCCAGTGAGCTCTGTATCGAAGCAAGCCTCAAAATCGACCCTGAACGTGTAATGTCACGATTGATAGTGCAAAGATAGTCATCTAGATGTACATCCAAGATGCGCTGATGGTGGGCATTCTTTTGACTAGGCATGAGGGAACTTGGTACAATATCACAGTACGCGTGCGCGCCGGCAGTTCCTTCCCGCAAATACACTGGCACGCATAGAGTCGATTGATAGTACAGTGCCCGATTAATCTCACCTTAGACAAGATAGCACAAATCGAGGGTATATTGAAGTGAAATAAAATCGAAAATGAATTATCATATGGATACGTCTCGTACATAATCGCCCTAATCAACAGACTTCCCACTGGGCTTGAGTTTTGGATGTCCGCTGGGCTACGTGAAAGTCTGAGGGGCCACTCGTTATGAAAACAGCTATAGTACCTCCATCAGCAAAACGACATAAAATTAGCCCAACTTATTTCGTCGCTTAAATTCGATTTTTAAGTGACTAAGCCTCAAGTCACATTAAGCGACACTAAGAGACACTAAGCGACTGCGAACTATTTCAATCAAATTTAAGGCCTTTCAGAGCCCGATTCTTACTCTCAAGCCGTCTCAAGCATGCAGCGGAAATTCGTAAGAGTGCTAAGAGCCTAAGACCGTAAGACATCGTAAGTCCGAAGTACAATGCTGCCAACGCCCAACGCCACCTGCGGCATGCTCACCACCGCTCACTCAATTCAGTGTTCCCTCCGGCAAGGTTAAGTCACCTTCGCAAAGCAGAGTAGTGAACGCAGCGAACATCTCATTATTGTACTCGGAAAATGTAAGGTTTACTACATGGAACAGTGGCCGTGCAATGTATCCTAGCATACTTGGAAAATGGTACTAGATGACGCGATGTGCTTGAACGGCGAAGGCAGCGAACATGTCGGGGTCAACTGGATGCGATGTCGGGAGTCAACTTGATGCGATGTACTTGAATGGCGAAGGTAGCGAACATGTCGGGGGTCAACGACGTGATGTACTAGAAAAGAAGGCAGCAAATGTTGGGAGTCAACTCGATGGTATTCGGAAAACGGCGGGAATACTTACCAGAAACTCGGTCTTCTCGTGTGTTGCCTAAGACGCGAAATCAAAGGCATGATGGTCGACGAACCGGTTGACATAGAACCCCTTGAAATTGTCCAGTGAGTTATCGTGCGTGATATGATCAGGGATGTATGAGTTCCCGAATATCGGGACTAAGTGGGCCGCGCGAAAGATACAGTCAACATGGATGACTGCAAGGATAGGATCCCCACGGACAAAATCCGGAGTGACCATCCACATTCCCGTGTCTTCGTCTGGTTCCTCAGAGATGCGACTGAACCAGTGAACTAAAACGCAAGGGTAAGTGACACCAAGATACACAAAGGAGAAGAAGCGAATGGCTCGCGCGATCTCCATCCCGCGCATGCCATGAAGCTCGTTGTTGCTGTTGACAAAGATACAGTCATAGCGTGGTTTTCCCTTGAGCCACGAAGGTGTCGCCCGAATGACCTCATGTCGCATGCCTTGATCATTGCTTGGGTCACTGGGGGTGTGGAACATTGCGGTTGCACGGTTGAAGACGCGGATACGACCCATATATCTTGGACAAGTGTGATTGGGGTCTTCATGATCCCCATTACCATCGAGTTGCCCACATAGGAATCGGTTTATGAGGCGTGGAAGGTGGGGCACCTTGAGTTCATCGGTCAGCGAGGCGACGTCAGACGCGTGCCGTCCTCCTTGACTGAAGTCAGTTTGACATCGGTTCGAAACAACGGTACTCACGTGGGGCACTCCCGAGCTTTACATCACTCTCTTCAGCTCGCAAACGGTTGATAATGGGTTGAGGCTGAGGTTGCGTCTCATCGTCGACGCCATTGGGGTGGTTGCTAATCCCACGTTCACCTGGAATGGTTAAAGAGAAGATGTGGGTGACGGTTCAATCATTAATGACACGAGACGTACCTTGGGTCCCAGCACGACCGCCTTGAGCATCTTCATCCAACAGTCCCTTGGCCTCAAAGTTGGCTCGCACAGCTGCGAGCTTGTCAAGTCGCTGGTTAGTAACAAGCATCTGTAACAATGCGTGGTACCGGTTGGATCGTCGCCAAGGCTCTTTCACAGCCTTAATGTGTTTGGATTCTGTGATTGAAGAGCAGAGGCCATTCGGGGCACCGAACAATCGAATGAGCATCGGATAATGTATCATTGAGTGCTGTCGCGGTAAGGAAATGTCGACGCGAACCCCCGTGGCCTGGAATATCGAACGATAGTCATGGAACCGTTTCAATGCGTCCTCCAACCTCAGTATGGTTTGCTCAGTAATGGTGTCAGAGCGGGCAATGTAACAAAATTCGAGAAACGCGCGAAAACAGCGCACAGCGTCTGAAGGGACATGGCCCTCGATGGCCGGTAGGTAGACCTTCATCAACGCTTTAGAGTCGTCTCCGGTCCACTGCTCGAAGCCACGACCTTGAGGGAATCTACGGAGACGCGAAAAGGGAGGGACGACAGAAATACTAACACGCTGTGTCAGCATATATGAGGGCGATAGTCGAGCACGACACACCGCTTGTCTATGTCGTCCATGATCTCTTGTGCTCGTGTAGGCCCGTGTTCCGTCACAAGATATTGCTCTACCCACGCAACGAGATGGTCCTTGAATGCACCTTTGATGAGTTGGTGTAAGATATCCGGTGCCAGTAGTTCGTACATGTCCGCTCGCGGAAAGTGGGAAGTAAATGGCTATCGGGGATATATTAACAGCACAAGCGCGGTGTGGAAGACATACCATAGTATCACCTGCAACGCCGTACTGGTCCCACATAATGCCGGGTGTGGTCTCTTCGAATAGAGTGTCGAGATGCTCTCGAGTGCGTAGTGACCCTCCTGCGTCCAAGTTGTCTGGAAAAGCCATGCACCTGTGCACGATGAGTCAGTCACTCCATCAGACATGTTGAACGACACTTACTTTGCACACCAACCTCGTACAATACACGCCAAAAGGACTTGTTCTTCATAGTCAGCAATGTAGGGCCCCAGACCATACACGACGCGTCGATAGTGGCCATCACCAAACCGAACCAATTCTGGTATCGTCATCGCTGTGTGTAGTGGTTGTAGGATCTTGGCAATCGAACCATGGAACAACTTGCGTTTGAATTGGCGGAACTCGAGTGAAGGAGCATGCTTCTTCTTTGCTATATTAGTGTCAGCCAGAGGACTCGGATGACGGCTTGGTGTATAGACTCACCCGTCGGGATCGACAAGAAGCTGATTACCGCGACTCCTCCCTTGTGTGCTCAGCGCAAATTGTTGCGAACATTACCAATTGACAGGTATAGCGGCCAGTATTCCGTGTGACCTGTGGCCACGGAGACGACTGTTTTGTCGCTGCCGAGAATGACTGGGACGAACGTAGACCCGTGTGTTGATGGGTCCCTTGCGATTTCATCCTATCGTGCAACATAACGATTAGCCCCAAAAAAAGACAAATAAAACTACACACCGCTTGCATCCAAGCCCAGTCACCTGACATAAAATCTCGCCACCGCCGTGTCTGAGTCTTAGGGTCATACTCGCGATACGGCACATAGTCCATGTGGTCTTTAAAGCCAGGGTGAGCGAGCATGCCGTGGATCACCACACGTGGATCA